CCGCCTCATTTGCCATCTTTTTTAGTAGAGGGTTTTACGGCGCTCGCAACTGCATCAGGTCATACGAGCGCCAATCATTTGCCTTCTGCCTTTCCAGTGAGAGCAACATGTGTTCCTGAGATATCCCGCCAGCTATCGTGCTAGAACCCGTCTGCTGGGACATTTCAGTAACCCACTTTCAGCACTTTTTAAGGACCCCCGGGCGAATGTTGAGTTCCTGCGTGCTGTCGGCATCGCTGACCGTTTATGAAGCCACAGCGCCAGAAGAGAGAGAGAGAGAGAGTGAGAGCAAGAAGTGACAAAGTGTCCTTATGTTCAGTGAAGTGTCCCAGAAACCACATTTATTTATCACTTACCGTGTTGAAAAGGCGTAGTTCTAGGGGAAACACAACTCTGTAGGAGACCTTGATGTAGCGGTTTAAGTGCTCCATGTACTTGAAGCGTTTCAAGTGCAGGGCCAAAATCTGAGGCAATTTCTTCACTCGCATTCTGAAGAAGAGTAGAAAAAAAAAAAAAATTCAAATTAAAAACACAGTCCAAGGAAAAGAGAAGTATATCAATTAATCAATATGAAAGAATTGTAATGTGATAGAAAAAAAAAGCCAAAGTATAGCATCACAAAATTTTGATTTTTTTTTTAATTTAAAAAATTAGCTGGCTTCAGAAAACACATCTCTTCAAAAATAATATTATAAATTAATCTTTCCCACGACAAACAGAATATAATGCTCCTGGAACGTACTTCATAACACATCATCTCCAAGAATCGTTCACTTAATGAAACAAAACAAAAATCTACACTTCAAAAAAAAAAAAGAAAGCTTTATATCTATAGTCTCACTTTGTATCTACACAATTCTGGCTTCAGGCGAAGAAGTAAGGGACAAAAAGAGTTGAAGACAAGATATTTAGTTTTAGTAAGAGTTTTACAAGCACTTGCAACACAATAAGGTCATATAAGTGCCGAAGATTAGAGGTGTTACAAGAGAGTAACAAACACAAAAAAGAAAGAGGGGAGATAGAGAAGATAAAACTTTTTATAGAAAAGAAGTAGCAAACCACACCATGGGCACCCTACAACCACCCACTTCCTGGCTTCAGATGATAAAGTATGGGACAAAAAGAGTTGAAAAAACAAGATGTGGGGGAAACAAAAACAAAACAAAACCACCACATTTAGAAAAAACTCAGATCAGAACAGTGCTGACCTCTTCTGCGCCTCTTGCTTGCTACAGCAGACCTCGCAGTAGTACTTGTGCTCCGAGCACAGCGTCTCCGTGTTGCTGAAGCCCCTGAGGCAGTGTGTGATGGACGTGTTCTGCTCCACGTCCACGCTCAGGTCCAGGAAGTCCTCGTCTTTGCTGCTCACCTGCAGGAACGGAAAGCAAAACATGGGAGGCACCGAGGTGAAATCAGGCGCTCGCATCAGAATATCATTGTGAGTATGTATCTAGCTTAAGATTATTATTGTTTTATATTAATGTTAATTCGTATTATTATGCATGTGACTGCAAGCCTGCGTGTGTGAGTGCATGCGTGTGTGTGTGTGTGTGTGTGTGTGTGTGTGTACGTGGTGAAACATCAAACCAATACGCCAGGATCTGGACAATAAAGATATATTCTATCTTATCTTATCTATTTAATGAAATCAAAGGAACTGGCATATATATATATTCACCGGTTTAGCAATTTTTATCGAGTTTTTGTTTTTTGGCTCTGCACCTTTTTATGCCCATTCAAAAACACATTTGTGTGTGGATTTTACCGAAAAACATTGATTAAATCCACAAAAAAAGTAAAATTTCAGTTTTTTATGACTTACTGTTTCACAATTAAGACATCTCGTCTCATTTGTCAAAGTTCCCTGAAATATGTCGTGGACCCACGTCGGATCTGGTTTAGCGTTGGCGTTGTTCTCCGTTCCTTTCTGGGCACCTTTCTTCTCCGCTGCAGAGTGAAGGACAAAAGAAGACAAAATTAACTAGGGCTTTCTATTCTTCCCTAGCGCAAAATGTTGACGTCTAAACATCTGAGAGAAGTAGGGG